TGAAACTGATTTTATTAATGGCCACAAGTTTAACTGGTGAGCAAGAGTACTCGGGGACGATTCCTGGGTCAGCCCAAAAAAAGGGTAATCCGATTTTTTTAAAAAAAATTAAAGACTGCTTTATCATAATTAAATGTTTTGATTCTGAATACTATATGATTCACATTACCTACATGCCTTGTTCACATTACGCTAGTATTTTAGTCGAGTAGCGAATACTCAGTAGATCATTCTTGCTTCTCTCCCAAAATCGAAGTGAGAGCGAGTTATCAAATACTGGCTACTCGACTAAATTACTAGCGTCGTTCGAACGAGGCATTAATAAGTATTATTATAACAATTAGATTTTAAGGTCATACATTTTAGTCATATGTTAGGAATTAGGGAGATAGCGTTATCATCGTCCCATTTCTAGTTAGGATTCTGACATCGATCTACACAAGTGTTCGTATGACGCATAGTCATGGAGATAGTCGTGTTAATACAAACTGGGACTGGTCAGCTCCAGACTGTATGATTATGGTCCTCAAGGTTATTTTCTTTTTCAATCTCTTTGACTGGATTTAGGTGTTGCATTGTTCTCACACAATCGATCACAATCACACAAAAATATGTAACTAGAGAATTGTATTGTAAACCCGATTGAAAAAGAGTAACCTATGGAGTTTCTTGCTCGTTCTTCTCCATAGGTATCTGCACCTTGGAATGAGCAAATAGCTTCACTTCTAAATTTTTTTGTTGTTGACGTTCAAAAGTGCCTTCCTGGTCTAATTTAATTACTTTTTTGGCATTAGAATTAGGTAGATACGAAATATATAATATGAGACTTTTATATATGTTACCTACTGTTGGGTGTTCTAGTACCTAAATAAATACTGTCGACAACGACATCAACAAAGCATAATTAGGTGGGAACTTTCCTTATTATTAAAAAATAAATTATTTCGACTGTTCAATACAATAGAATATAAAAAAATAATCACACTTTCATTATTTGATTTTATGAACAACTTGATTTTAGTATTTTTCCTACATATTTTTAAGAAATAAGTATGCTGCACAATCTCATACAATATTCATAGAAAACTGATGTTTTTGACAGTTCGTAAAAAGTATTGAATTTGACTAGTTAGGTACTTACTTGCCTTAATTAAAAATAAATTATTTCGACTGTTCAATAGGTACAATACAATATTAAAAAATAATCACACTTCCATTTGTTGATTTTATGAACAACTTAATTTTAGTATTTTTCTAGTATTTTTTTAAGAAATAAGTAAACTGTTTGACGCTAAAAAAACGTGGCGTCAATTATGAAGTCACGTTTTGAACACGATCACAGAAAACTGTTTGTTTTTTAAGAGTTCAAAAAAAGTATTGACTTTGACTAGTTGGCAATTGTATCCAATTATGGTAAGCGTAAGGTGACTTTAACCAATCAAGAAATTCGGAGTCGTGGAGAACCTAACGGGTAACCGGGGCTCCGGCTCGACGTGCAGGAGAAGGAACGGGGTGGTTTTTAGTCAGTAAGAGTCTGACACTCCCTTCCCGCCTCACCCAGGCGGAAGCAGTCATTCGATGATTTTCCCCCCTTAAAAAAAACCTAACAAGAAGAACAAGAATATTACATACCGTGTACTTATATATCAGAACTCTCATTTACAAGACAAAATACAACAACAGTGGTCAAACGTCGCTCGGTCCATCAAATATATTACTATAAAAAAAACCTATTCCAAAAGAGATAAACTATTACAAACAGGTTTTATTTAACAATCTCTACCGTTCTATAATTTCAAAAAAGAATTCAATAATATACTTCTTATTGGATTTCAATTTTCAATACAGCTAATGTGGCAAGAATGTTAGTTAGTCTCACGCCCTCTAATTTCCTTTAATTACAATCGAGAGCACCACAAACTTCCTGGAATGTGAACGACCTAAATAACTGATTGATTCGACGAATAAATTAACTTTCCGTGGTAACTGCATCGGCTATTTTCTTCGTATTCTATTCACATTTATTGGGAACGAGATTAACAATACGTGTACTACATTAGATCTTAGTACCGTTAAATTAAGTGCTTGTAATCTTATAGGGTCGCCTCGGAGATAATTCAGTCTAAGATGAAGATTTAGAGTCTGGCAAACGAAAGGAGCCACTGAAAAAGCCCGGCAAATTTAAAAAATATCAGTGTAGCAACCCAAAAATTAGTATGTCACACCTGGAGTAACCAGACGTGAAGACGTAACAAACAAACAAATTAATTATAAAGTATCAAATTAGGTTACTCCAGGTATGACATACTAATTTTTGGGTTGCTATACTGATATTTTTTAAATTTGCCGGGCTTTTTCAGTCTCTACTTTCGTTTGCCAGACTCTAAACTCCTGAACTTTAGGTATTATAAAGATATATTTAGATATTTTAATATTAGGTAACAACATAAAGTACTGTGTGTAGTTATAGTGGTAGGCGTAGCATGTAAGATCTTTATAAAATAATATTTGACCATGAAAATTATGTACTTGTAATATGACAAGGGCACGGACGCAAGTCCGTGGAGAAATTCAATTTATTTATTGAAAAAAAAACTCCTGAACTTCGTCATCCAGGCTTTCCTTTCTCTTTTTTAATTTTTTTATGGGATAAACGAGCTGACGGATCACCTGTTGGTAAGCAATTGGCACCGCCTATGGACACCCGGAACACCAGGAGCGTTACAAAAGCATTACCGGCCTTTTAGGGATTAGGAATTTGAGGATTGTTGGGGATTTCGGGGATCGGGGGAAATTGGAGAGGGGGGAGGAGGGGGGGGGGGTTATTAGGCCTCCTGTGGCCTTACTCACACCACGACGTTTTCTGTGAGGCCCTGGTATCACTCACAATGAATTCCTCCTTGAAAAATCCAGTATGATGATTTCTTCATCTATAGATCTATTCTCATCTTACAGACAGCCCTAACTCAGGACACGTGTTTTCCTAAACAGATTAACGTACCTTTCTAGAAAGTTCGAACACTACCATCTCTCATTCTATTCAGATTAAACCTATAAACTATAGGTACACGGCATATAAAAGACTATTGTATCCTGATCTAGCTTTATATGATCTTCCCGCACATTCAACAGTCAGTTTATACTGGTTTAGTATAACTGCCGTATGTATGTATATACTCAGCACTCGAATATAAATCAAAACTAAAATTGTTACCAATCATAATGCATCAATAAGGGCCGATATCGGCAGACAATCTAAATGAGACTTTATTGCAGTAACTTACAGTTATTATTGCATTGTAATTGATTTGCATTCGTCACCATGATATATAGGGTGATTAAAATTGATAGGAATTATGATTGAAGATGCAATGTGATGGTGTTTTGAGTTTGAAGTGATTTTGTATGGAGTCACGGTTCAAGGAACGATGTATGTGTGTATTCCATTCCGTGTATTATAGTTTTGAAAATTAAACTTAAACCGAATTAGTTTACTGAACTAATTGAGTAAAGTAAATCGATTTATTATTCGATTCGATCCGATTATTCGATTTACTTTACTAAACCAGTAAAGTACCTGAATGGTTATTTATTGTATTGCCTAAGGACATGTTTTTTGTTTCCAAGTCGAGAACTACAAATGTATAGCAACATCTTTATGTTTGATACAGGCCTGAAACTTTGTGTTTTGGTTGCAATTAAAAAGTCACAACAATCGATGATCGGTAATGCCAATAATTTTCCAATTTCAAGGTTTTGTTTGGCTGGGGGGGGGGGGGAATCATCGCATGACTTCTCCGGAAGGGAGTGTCAGACTCTTCTTTTGCACCAATTTCAAGGTTACGTTATTATTTCTATAAGCTTATTGTAGCAATGTTTTCAAGGGCATCTTAAATACAATATCTCAGTTACCCACTACCAAATATAATCATAGCCGACCCAATTAAGACATCCTGTTTATAGTAATTTGAAATACCCTATATTAAACCACATCAAACAACATACACTTTGATTCAAAAGTCGTAAGGTTCATTTTCGAGTGAATATAACACATTGGAACTTATAACCCATTATAGATTTTAATTAAAATGTATTAAGGTCTATTTTCGTTTATTTGACGGTTGCTTTGTGGTCAGTTCTTTAAATTAAGAGGTGTCATTCGCAAGAAGTGCAATAAATCATTGTTGTCAACGACATCGCCATGTAGACTAAACAATACGTTTAGTTTAGGCCACAGACACACTATCGATGGCACAGAGTATAAATATACGAGTACCTAACTAAATAAATGACTTTATTAAGGGTTAATTTTTCCAACGCTAGATAAATTTTATCAGAATAACTTTGAATATTTGACGATTTAATAAAAAGAAAATATTCTTCCATAGGGTCGTTCTCAAAAAAGTGGCTCAGATCGATTAAATTTGTCAATTTCAAAAAATGTTTCAAATGTCGAGTTTTTTTTATGAAAATCTATTGGCAGTGTTTTACTGAAACTGAATTAATGAAAGGGAAGCAGATTTACTGGAAATTGAGTCGTATAGAGCCTACTGAAAAATTGACTTCACAGGTTAAAGAGGTATTGTCCAGATTACTGAGAAAACGATACCAGGTTAAATAGAAATAAACAGGTTACAGAAAAAAACAACGTAATCATGCAAAATCAACGTTTATTATATTATATGAACTAACAAAAATAATGGTTTTTATAAACGTAACAAATCACAGCTTCCTCAAATGAATTAAACATTAATTTAAACATTTACGAATAAAAACACAAATAGAATAGCTGTACTATATTCTCATAATCTAAATTAGAATTTAATCAGTCCCAAACAGTTAACAATTATTATTTAAAAACAACGTAAAAAGACATCTAGGTACCATTATTATAAACATCCTTTTTAACAATCACAAACAAGGTAAATGGTCTTATAACAAAATTATATACCAATCAGTCTTAAATCAGCTATCAATAGTAATTCTAAAAGTACTAGGTGCTTATATTTAGATTTATTTCGTGTTATATTATAATATTAAGAAGTATAGGAGTTGTCAAAAAAATACTTGCAATAAATGAACCGCATTGGAGGTATTATTCTGAACAACCCTTTCTATGAGACTGACTCTGTAATGTGGAAAAAGACATAACATTGAAACAGTTGCTCAGATTGATGAATGCAATGACTCCTTCTATTTCACACAGATTTATAAACACCTTATGTTAAACAATCACATACAAAATAGAAAACAGTAAATAGTTAAAAAATAGTGTAGTCTGAATCACTATCATTACCTTCAATATTCTTAAAAGAATTCAATGGAGACATAGTCACGTTCGCAGGCCCTTCATCTAATATGTTATCTAAAGTACTTCTTTGGAGTTCCGGAGGTAATTCCATTTCAGACAAAGCTGAAAACGGTGTCGATCTATGAAGAACTGTTACTAATTCTGGTTGAATGAAATCATCTGCTACATTAGTACCAGGGACAACAAAGCTATCTTCGTCGGAGTCAAAACAATTTTCTGAAATTCGAGTAGTAGCCATAGCAGATGATCTTTTTCGTGAGCACCTGGATATTGCTGGTGATATAACTTCCTCTGTAATAATTCTATGAAAACCAAGATGTTTACCGTGTTTACAGAATTCAGCGTAAGTTAAACAGGTTTCTTTTGTACAACTAAGTTCTCTTAATACTACCATTTTTGGCTTTGTATTACTCCATACAATTTGGTGAACTTTCTGTGTTCCTTTAAATGGCAGTAAAGTATTTGGTAAAAGCAAATCTTTTTCAAAGATCTTATAGTCTAAAATAGTATCGATTTTTATATTTTGCAACTTGTCTTTTAGTAATTGTGTAAAAGATTCGAAATCCTGTACATCATTTCCATGACTTACACTTGCATCGGCAGTACGTTTTAATACGGCCCCAACTCCATCTGGAGCGCCTTTACCGTGGCCGGATTCAGAGTAATTCCATGTTACACATTTCAGGTCAGGGTAGTTCCATTTCAAAGCTGTGATAACAAAGTATATTTTATAATTTCGATATTGACTGCCAGCAGAATCTGAAATAATATGAAAGGTCTTTACTTGTGGGGAATGTATTCTAAGGAAATCTAGTAACGGTTCCATGTGGGCCCATACCGCTGCTGAGTCATGTCGCAGATTTGGACTGAGAGTGGCAAAACATTGTGTTTGTTTTTTTCTATTAACATCAAAGAAATAAAGCACACTGGTGTGTATGGTAATTTGTGGCTTGCTTGCACCGAAGTGTGCGGATTGAATTTCTTTCGAGTAACCGCATTTATAATTTTCCGAGTAATCGATGTGAATAACAGCTTCGTCAAAATTTAACCGTTCTTTAATTTCCTTTATTGCCTTTTGCTGACTAACCATTCTTCCACAATTATTCATGTACTTCTCTATGATCTCTTCGAACTTTTGAATGGCTATATTTGGGTTACTTGCTATTTTTTCCTTCTTAACTAGTCTTATTACTTTATCACATCCATTTTGTACTATATTTTCAGTCTTTGAGTTCCAGGTCCAATAACAGAAAACAATATCCCTGTCATATTCCAAATATTTGATGGATTTATTTTTACATTCCAGGCAATCACGAAATAGGCACTTAGCATTATTTTCGGAGCAACAAATAGTTTTAAGTAAATTGGTAGGATCTTTGGGTTCAATTATTTTATATTTGTGGAGTGCAGACACAAAAAGCTTAAAATTTTCATGAATAACACAGAGACATGTTTCTCGAGGTCGTTTAGAGGCTGGTAAAATCCAAAATGGTCTAAATCGACAAAAAGTACTAAAACTGACAGCGTATCTATGAGAGGACATAAATTTTTTATGAAGGTTCCCAAGAGAATCATTCAAATAACGTTTCTGTTCTTTAACACCATCTTTCTTAACATATTCTTTCTTTCCTGCCGCACAGCTACTATTATCATCAGCTGAGAGAAATATTTTTATATCATTTTTCTTTTGCAAGACTGACATGTTCTTAAGCGGTAAACTACGTCTTCTAAACAAATTCTTGAACTGACTTTTAAATTTAGTGGCGTGAATCGAAGTTTCAAGATGCGGTTGAAGACTATTAGAAATCATTTGTTTCATTTTGTAAGATTTTACGCTCTTGTAAGAACGTAAAACGCCTTCAGCAATAGGATCATCATGGCTAGCATTTTGAGAACTTTGGAGTTTAGAAAATAAGTTTACCGAACGAACATTATCTTGACGAATTTCTTGAAGAGGTTTCATTCTCGAAATTTTTTTGCGATAAGTATCATTTAACTTTATTACTGATTGTAATTTAAGTCGTAAGGATGCTATTTCTTTATCTTTTTTGTAGCGCAATTTTCGAACCAATTTTTGAGCATTGGGTGATATAATTCCAGAATTTACTGAAGAACCTTGCGAGTTAGCTGGACTAACTTCTCTAGACCTAGAATGCGATCTGTTTATTCTTTTACTTTGATAATTAAGCACCGCGGAAGTTGATGGTTGTTCTCTAAGATCATTGATATTATTTATATTTATATTTATGTTCTCGATATCTGGACTGGTAGGAGGACTGTTGCATTCAATGAAGCGCTGGATTCTTGCTTTTTCTTCTTTTTTACGTTGATAGGACCGTCTAGCATCTTCTCGCCACTTTTTTCTTAACATTTTTTGATCCCTTGGTGTTAAATTATTTATTGAGACTACTTTCCCTTCAAGTTTTCGTTTCTGATATTTTTTCTTGTTTTTTTCCTTATATTTCGCGTATAGTTCTGGGTTATTTTTAATTTTTTTCTTTCTTTCTTTCAAGTTCCTGTTTTCGCGCTAAAATATCTTCTCTCTTCTTATTTTTTGGCATTTTACCTTTGACAAAATGAAAAAAAATAGGTTAAACCGTAACCTAGCAAAGGACATAGCGGACCTAGGTAAAAAAACCGTAATAGTAATAATAAATTATTCGAAAATTAAAAATCAAAACTAGTTTATTCAAAGGCTGATAAACTTCACTCTAACTCATCAACAAACTCAAATATATTTTCAATAAGGATATTAAGTATTGATATCTAAGTAAATATGCCTAAATGTCACGAGTAAAATAAATTTGTATTAAAAAAATGGGTCAAAAATCTTTAACCCGTAAGCAATCTCTTTAACCTGTGCATTTTTAACAGGGTAAAGACACACAGGTTACTGAGAAAACGTAGGTAAACATTAGATACCAACAAAACGGTTAGGTTGTTTTAAGCTACTCTTATAGAATCATATCCAGGCAGCTAATGACATATTTTAACATAAAACATTTCAAAGCAATTCACATACAAACAAAAGAAAGTAGGTCAGATAATAGACAACACACCTGTTACAAAATCCGATTGCGATGTATCGATGTATTTTCCAAGAAAACAGCACACACTAAACGCGTCTTTCTTTGACAACAGTTAGCCAGATACTGTCGGCTTATTTCGCGTGGGGATAGAGTGTTGCTAACGTTATAGTCTGTGGGTAATGATCAGTAGTGTGCAACGCCAGGTTGTGGAGAAAAAATCTCTGGACAGACGTTACGCATGAATATCTTAAGAACTATATGTATTTATGTGCAAAAATTAAAATCACGTTAAAACAATTATATAACAAATTATGTTTTATTTTATTTAAGTGCTTATTAAAAGGTATTATTTTTTTATTGCACCTCAAAGTCAGACATATCGTGTTTGGACACGACAAGTTACTGAGAAAATGACATTACAATATTTATTTATTTTTAATTTCTAACTCTAAACTTCTTATTTTCACTCGGCCTTAATGTATAAAGTCTCTTTATATACAATGTAGTGTAGAAAAGATCAGTAGCCCTAATAAAAAATACTTTTATCCATTAAAAACTGGCTGACAGGTTACTGTGCCACTTTTTTGAGAACTACCCCATACTAAAAACACTGACAAATAATGCCAATTTAATTCTACAGTTAAGAATTCTCTTTTCATTGAAAAATCGGCATTGAATGTGGAATTATCCAGAAAAGCGTTGTTTCAATAGTTTTTACGACGAAAAATAAATTGTTTCCACTAAGTATTCCACTTAATAACGTAACCTTATTATATTTTTTTTTGTTTTTGTAACTACACGTATGTCTCTGTTGCTATTGACAATGCAAAGGGCAGGGGCAAAGGACGAAGAAAATAAATACCTAATTAAAGAGAATAATAATATAATTATAATTACTTTAAGATAAAGCTTGTTTAAAATCAGAAACAATTAATAAAGTAATCGATCATATTACCTAATGAAAGGAGTCAATAAATAAAATTGGCTATTTTATTCAGTAAGAGCTATAATGGTTGTGGCCCCACCATAACTTCAACCGAACAAAATATTTACAAGTACCGTTCGACACGCACGCTTTGTTGTATTACAACATTGTAAGACTCTTTCAAAAGGACAATGTTTTAAACTTTACAATTATTGTTATTTTATTGGCGACCTATTTCGATTTTGATAGCCAATAAGAATTAATGCACTGTTTAAATAACGTTGAATTTGACCAACGTAAGGGGCAATAACAATCCAAACAATCTTCTCTTTAAAAAAAAACAACATGTTCTATAATAACCTACTTACAACAAGCTATACCAAAAAAAAAAAATTAAAAAATAACATGTCCGTAGACTGTTGACATTTCATCTCCTCTTGATCTCTATGGTATGTTTATGTCTTAGATAACGGTCGGTAAGGCGAGAAGCACTAATTGCTGCAATCGACCTTGGCATTCCATCATCATGAACTAGTTTCAGGCAATTTGTGTACTTAAATCTCTGTTTGTTTCCATAGCAATCCAGAAAGAACCATTATACAATTTCAGATAAACTGTTTCTAACACACGTCTTGATTTATTTTCTTGTTTGTGGTGGTACTTGTTTTTAAATGAAAGACATTTTAAAGGTATTCAATTACGTAGATTTATTTTGGACTTAACTGAAGTATGTAACTATATACATTTCAGGTAGCTTTTTTGGTTCACCTACTTTTAATAAAATAAATCTTGGAAAGCTACAAATCTTTTTAATCGATAAGTAAACTTGCTCAATTTATTGTAAATCAAGTGCATTTAATTTTAAGCATAATAAGCCTTCCACAGATCATAATTAATTATCTGTCAACACTTAAAATGGCCGACACCATTCTTTTGGCGCCAAGATTATCGCGCATGCGTTAACCCGTTAATCCGCGATGGCGCCTGATCATTTAAGTCCGGTTTTTGACGTTAAATATAGCGAAAAAACGTTTTGGGGTTAAGTAAAAGTGAACTCGATCGTAAAGTATGTCGATGGGAATTGAAAAAAATATAATTCGCCATCTTGATATGATCTTTCGAACAGGTTTACGACTGTAACTTTATAGTGATGCTATTTTTTATTTTTCATAATAAACCAAATCTGCGCGGGGCACCTGGTCAATAAATATTTCTTTTTTAGCATTTTATTTATACATATTTCCTGGCAGGTTATTTACTACGTAGGTAACGGTTGTAATAAAATACCTAAGCCATATTTCTATCGAACAAACTTTTGGAGAAACTGTATTGTTGAACGGGAAATGCAGAAAACACGATACTTGCTTTATAACATTGATTTGTATTTTTCATACGCAAAACATTGTAAAAATTAAGCAGACTAAATAAATTTCACAATATCTTTATAACATCATTCAAATAGTTATAAGAATGAACGAAACACATTGTTGTAACAACTGTTACATATTGTTAATTTCAAGCACAAAAGCATGCTCAATTGAGCATTGTTGCTCAATATTATCATGCTCATTTCGGACATGCTTGCGAATCGACAGGAGTCCAATTTTTGAACTTTTTTGAGCATGCTCAATAGGGCAATTTTCTAAATTTTATTTTAATGTCCGTCTGGTGGATTATTTTAAGATATTAGACACGCATTTTTTCTTTTCTCATAAAATTTAATGCTTTCGACGATATATTGATTTGAAATGTCGTATGACGTCACAGCGTGCTACAAAATGTAGCACGTTGTGACGTAACTACATCCCACTTCTAAACTTAACGCCATTTTATTTAAGTATTGTAACTTTATACGAGAAAATAAATAAAATACGTGTCTAATACTTTTTTATTATCTAACTGATGGACTAATTAGATTTTTAATCTTCTTACCCTTGAAACTACCCTATTGAACACATTTTAGCATGCTATTTTCAACCCGTCGAGCGTCCGCGTTCCTTATGATTCAACGGATGCACACGTGACATTTGGATAAAGAAAGAAAGAAAATGCATTTATTTGGCCATTGGCACACGAAAACAAGCATCATTACAAAATAAATAAAAATACAGTCAAAATAAAAACAAAACATTAATAATAGATTTTATAAAAGAGAAAGCAGCATTAAACAATTTTTCTTATGATCCACCGGGTGCTCATAAGGATGCTCGAGGGGTTAAAGCATGTGCAACAGTACCTTAAGGTTTCGCATTAATGATTACAGTATACATATATTACCATGTATTAAGTACTTAAGTCTTCAAATTACAACTTCAATAACCTTTATACTCAGTCATTTCATGGATTATTTCCTTTCAATGGTTTTGAAGGACCAACGCATTAGTACTGGACGCTTGAAGTACCACTTATGAACCTTAGCTCCTTACTTGTAGGCACTGACACCTGATGCTGATTTACATTGCTCTTGAATAGTCATACTGAAGATGGAACAGAGGGCCAAGCACGAATAAATATCGCAATCGTAACGCAATAGTATCGAGCGAGTTAAGCGTTCTGATTGGTTGGTTCACTTGAGCCGGCCAATCAGAGCGCTGAACGCACTCGATACTATTACGATACGAATGCGATAGTTATTCGTGCTTGGTACTCAGGTTTTGTAATTGTGTATTTTAATAAGGGACAGACAAAAAGGAAATTATATGAATCACTAGCTTCGGCCAGCGGCCTTGCCTACATTGCCGTGGGTAAAAGTATGTTATTGGTTATGTGTTTTTCCAAAGCATCTATCTCTGTTCCAAATTTCATACTGATCCCTTCAGCTGTTTTGACGTAAAGAAGGAACAGATAAATATACAAACTGTCACATTTATAATTTTTCATTACACTGTTTTCGGCACTGCAGACATCCATGAATAAATGTAGGTAATACTAAGTACGCTAAAATACATAAATTAAATACCTACACCACCGCTTATCCCTTCGGGAAATAGAAACATTTTAAATCGATTGTAAATCACACAAAAATGAACTCGATTTTTTCATTCGCCCCAAAACGTAACTAGCGCCACTTGAGCAGTAATAAATACTTCAATAATTTAAAAACGAACGAAGTACTTAATTTGAAACGAAAGGAAAATATTATGTGTAATTCCCATACGGTAATTTCTTGAGTATGATAAGTACCTATGCAAAATGTAAATACATAAACAGTAAAACCACCTGTTAAAACTTTACTTGTAGGTAAGACCCCATTTTCCCTATTATCTCAGAATAAGTCAATGTATACTGAGAATCAATGTGAATGGTTCAGAACTGTGAACTCACGTGTTAAGAATGTAAATCTGATCAAGTAGTCTTATAGAATCTAGTATTATAAATGCGAAAGTTGGAGCGGTTAGGTATATACATATCGTACCTCCGGTACTACAACGTCACTTATGTATTGCGGGGGCCCGCGCGCAACTGAACAATGAAACGTTGTTTCTCCTAGTGCCGTCCAGATTAGCGCCAAAATCGTAACAACCATTGCCGGGGCTCCGACTCGAAATGCAGGACCAGGAACGAGGTAGTTTTTACTAGTCAGTAAGCGCCTGACACTCCCTCTCGTCTCACCCGGGCGGGAGAAGTCATTGGATAAATTTACCCCCTTAAAAAAAGAGCTGTACTGTTTTGAACCAGTAGTTAGACGTTGCCGAACAGAACCATAGAGTAAAAAAAAGCTTTTTTAGAAACAAAAGTTGTATCAAGTTCGTTCTGCGACGCACCATAGGCTTTTGGTGTGTACATGAATACTCATGTTGTGTGTCGTGGCGTAATAAATGGTTTTTCTTTCTTTCTATCTTCATTCGAGCTTAACATAACTAACTGTTGATACCTAAATTGGATTTAATTCCATACGTTCCTGAATTGATCCCTACCTGAATTGGATACCTTCATCAACTTAACTGTGTTCACTCATACATCGATTTAAGTTATTTGGAAAGGAAAAAATATGCAAATTAATAATTCTATTTACGTAGTAACATTGGTTCATTGATGACGCATCGAGATTGATATGTAATAGGTGCTACGAATGTTGCTATACAATAAACAGTCACCTGATAGGAATTCGTTTACTAATCTGTGTATACGTAATTCGGACTTCGATTTTTTTTATTTCGATTTATTACTTTGATTACTGATAATTGGCCCTTGTGTATGCATTTTTAGTCATAATTTTGCATATATGCTATTAAAATATTGTGTATCTTATCTATTGTAGAAAGGAATATTCATTTCTTACATTGATATTAATTTATGTTTTCAAACAAAATGTTTTGAACTATAGTGAGTGCTTTATTATTTTAAAATTACGGAATATGTGATAT